ATGTTTGTAAGTTAAGTGGAAAATAAGTACTTCATTTTAAAACTAGGAACTAAATTAGGTGCATCCACATATTACAAAACATCTGTCTATAAGATTTTACTAAAGTATGAAAAAAATGAACCTAAATGATCCCTCTATTCAGGAACCTTTACTCTTCTGATGAATCTGGGTGACGGGATAAAGGAACAGCAGCAAAAGCATCACACGGAAGCTGGTGAGAGCAGAAACACAGCCATACTGACCACAAAGGCAAGAGACCCACTCTGCCCACTTAAACTCTGCCTTACATGTCCCAGTTCACTTATCAGCTCACCATTTCACTTTAAAACATGAAAATTTAACCTAGAGTAAACAGGAGTGGCACTGTTATTTAACCAAACCCCATCTTCAGACAATTCTCTGATTGGAAGACACACGGCCGATATCTGGAGCGGACTGTTAAGTACCAACATCTCCCCTCCACTCACGACCAGCGACTACTGTCCAGTACTTAACATATGCCAGGCCCGGTAGGAAATATTTCAAAACTATGCTTTATAATCTTCCCCATACCCTAAGAGGGAGGAACTATGATCCTTATGTTTTATGGAGGTGCTCTGTGCAAAAAGTAACATATAGAGGAACTTTTATTCTTTGACTCTTTCTAATCAATACACCTTATCTGATTCCTTTGTTATTTCTGGTTAAAACATCAAGTTAAAGACTTGACTTTAATCTATAGTTAGCTTATTATCTGATGAATTTATACATTTTCTTCACTGAAAAGGACTTCCTGAAGGTCAGACCAGGCACATCCTGCTTTCAATGTTTCAATGTGAATTTTAGAAACTATAGAAAAAATTTTTTCAAGAAAGTCCTTAAAGTATTTTCCCTCTGGCATCTAGATAGGCTTTATGTTGATATTTTGACAAAAGCTAAGTACATATAGCATAAAAAGATTTCCCAGTGTGTGCTCAAAAACAGGCTAGCTGAAAAGTCATCGGAACACAATGGGAGTATTCTTTTACCTGCCAGCTTGCTTTCTCCCCTTCCTTCTCTCTCTCTTTCTGTCTCTCTTGGTCAAATTAAAAAATAATAATAAAAAATTAAACAAGTAATTATTTTTAAAAGATTTAAATAGGATTTTTCTTAGAACATATTCAGTTTATTTTTTAAATATCAAATACTGCTTTTTATTATCTCAAGGAAACAGAGTAAACTTTCTAGAAATAAAATCCTAAGCCTGATTCCTAATATAATTTATTGTACAACTTTACCATTTCTGAAAAGATTATAATTTACCAAAGAAATTATATCAGTATTTCCCAAAGTGTGTTCCTCACTAATAGGTATTTTAATTTTTAAAAGAATTATTTTATTTAAGTTTATTTATTTATTTACTTATTTTAATTTGAACAGAGAGGGACAGAGATAGAAAGAGAGGGAAAGTGAGAAAACAAACCGCCAGGTCCAGGATTTGAACCGCTGTTGGTCATGTGGGAGTCCAGTACCCTTAACCACCATGCCACCTGACGGCCCTACTGATAAGTATTTTATAAGGAAGCGTCTATGGTCAAATATATTGGTGAAAGAGTGGATTACACTAAATAGGTTTCTTTACTGAAGAAAAAGATCATCATCCCAGAATCTGAAAAATATTTGTTTTCTTACAGGTGAAAGAAGACTCTCAATAACCTGTTTGCTTTATGTCAATTAGTTGAAAAGTGGAACCTAAACTTATTTCTGTGTCTTTTCTCCCATTACTCTTGCACCGATTGTCAAGATGTTATAAACTTGTTTTTTAATGCTTTTGTGAGACAAGGGTAACACTTTATTTTTTAAAACTGAAACTTGAATAACCCATTAAATAAGAAGGTTGGGCAAGTAAACTTTCTCTCCTCTCAAGGAAGAAAAAACAGGGCCACACACTATAAAAGGAAGTTTAGCAGGGGAGGTAAATATTAAAAAACAAGTATTTTTAAAATGAAGTGTGTGCAAGTAGGCAGAATTAAGGCATAGCTGAACACACATAGAGAGAATTCTTCATAATTCTGTGTAAATTTTCCCCAAAACTAAAGCCCTGGGAGCCATAAGTCAATAAGAAAGCCAAAGGTGATCATTCTTTTGCTATTTACTGTGTACACAGGATGAAGAAGTGTCTCCTAAACCCAAGTAACTACTACTCTGAAGTAATGCGTGCACTGGCAATTTAGGATTTACAAAACTGTAAATCAAACTATTGTTTTCCACTCCTTTGCCATTAATTCCATGAAGATTGCCTAGGTACGTATGTTCAACGTATTAATGCATCCAAAATATTAAGAATGCTTTAAAGCATAATTGAAAACACAAATTTTATCCACACTAAATCCAGAAAAATTTTCATTGATCTATATTTTTCCTTCCTTTATAGCAAGATAGATTCTTGGAGAGTAAAGTCACAGAAACAACATATAGGCAAAATCCCATTATATCGGGGCCAGCGGTGGTGTAGTCATTAGGGTGCTAGACTCCCACATGGCCAACTGCAGTTTGTGTCCTGGACCTGTAGGTTTGCTTTCTGACTTTTTTGCTCTCTCTCTCTCTGTCTCTCTCTGTCTCTCTCTGGTGAGCACATATGTCCTATAGCAAATTTAAATAATAATAATAAATAAAATTAAGTAAAAAAAAAAATTATTAAAAAAAATTCCCATTATATGGGAACCAGCAGTTAGCGTAATGGCTATGTCACTGGATTCCCATGTAGTCGACCGCAGTTAGCGTCCCAGACCCGGTGGCTTAAAACTCACACCGGACGCGTGTGTGTGTGTGTGCCCAAGATCCCAAGAGGAGAACGGAGGAGAAGGGATTGCAGCATGACCATTCCCCCTGGGGGGTGATTTCTCGCTTTCTGTCGCTATGTCTCTCTCTGTCTCTCTGGCGAGCGCACGTGCCCTATAGCGAAAACCTCTCCAAAAAAAAAAAAAAAAAAAAAATCCCATTATAACAAATTTCAAGGCAACTCAAGTTGTGTAAATTCTAAAATGGTAATTCGATGACAAGAAAATATATTCCTAGTGTGAGACTCTGTAGAGAATGTAAAACAGAATTTGGATGAGGTAAGAGCATTCTGGACTAAAAACTGCTAAGTGTACACATAGACTGTCCCTCTGACCTCTTTCTCTTCCATGGTTTTAGTCTTTTTATATATCTGATTTTAACAGATGATTTGAATTCGTAGGTGGGCCTTTTGGTAGCAGTAACTGGTAAGCCTGCAAAGTGTGAGAGCAGCTAGTTCACAAGTAACTGCTGCTTGGTAGGGTATAAAACAAAGATACGGGCAGCACAGGGGACGTCACAGTACTCTACTGTACTCTCCCCAGAGGTGTCTAAAAAGTAAAAGTACATACGCAGATAGTAGGCCATCAGGAAAGTCATGACACATTTTTCTATGTTTTCCTATGCAAAAATCTGTCATGACTTTTCCAATGACTCAATACTTTCAGCATAAGGAAAAAAGTCTAGGAAGCTAAACTCTCATCTTATTTTCTAATAATAGGATATGAAAAACACTATTCAAAAGAATCAACCTCTAGAAAAGAAATACCTTTTTTTTAATAAAATACATTTGTTTACAATGTTTTTCCTTTTTTCCCCCAAATGCTGTTGTAAAATGGAACATGTAAAAGAAAATTCTATTTTTATAGCTTTCAAATCAGACATAATGAAAGCTATAGAATTGTGTCTTGAAATAAGTGACATGACATATAAATCATGCATTGTATTAGTTAGTACAAAAAGGAACATGAGCCTTACAGTGCTACTATATGAAAATCAACAACAAAAACTTTGCATTATGAAAAAAAAAAAGCTAGCAACATTTGTTAAAAGCTTAAATAAAACTTAAATAACCAAGATTAAAACTAGGAAAGCTTCTAATACGAGAAATAGGCTCTCACACATGTTTACACATGTTTAGAAACATACCCGCCTTCTACAGAACCTACGAGGCGATCCTCCCTTAGCAAGGAAGTTTATTCAAAAAAAAAAGAAGAGAGAAATCATCCAAAAACTGTAACTAATCATTTTCCCACTCAACAAATATAACAAAATATTCAAGTTATAATAATTAAAATAGATATGCTATACTGAATAACTACATTATTTATATAATCCATAAAAGAATAAAATGTGTGCATTTCTTATTCTTAAGAGATTGGTCAGTGAAAAATAAAAAACCTCAGCAATAAATTATTATACAGTAGAATGATATTTAATAAAATGCCACTGAAAAATTTTTTTGCAAAGCTGTCTACCATTTCCTTTTCTCTATTATAACTTTAATGGAAAATTAGAAATGACTTAAGCACTCAATGAATATTTCCAAAAAGAATATTTTTAACAAAAGATTGGAAGATAAAACAAATAATTATACAGAATTATTCCAAATCACAACTAGTTATTCATAAACAAATTGCTTTAATACCTTAAATATATTTTGGATAATGAAACTGTATTATTATGGAAACCGAAAAATGATTTATGAAAGTACAGAAGAGCATGAAAGCAAAAGATAATAAAATCACATTAACATGTAAGAATAAAAAAGGTCAAGAGACTCTTACCCTCTGCTCCAATGCCGACTGAGTCTGCTGTCTTAAAAGAGCTTTAAACGGCCCCCCTTCTTTTCCAGCACTACCACTTCCCATGCCTACAGAACATCGGCACACAAATAACAACCAGAAACAACTGTAGAAGCAGAAAGTTTAATTGCATTCATATTCATAAATACTATCAGTCAAGAAATGATAAAATGATCCGAATGCTTAAAAATTTGGGACGGCAACTAATGTACTTTATTCACAAAGTTTTAGCAAATGTCAAAGTTCTGCTGACTACAGGTAGTTTTAGACTTAATTGGCTCTCAAAATTATTTTTTAAATTGTTAAGGGAATGAATCTTTGCATAATGTTCCAGCTTTAAAAGGTGATTCTTCTAATAAGTAACCAATATAGTAACACTTACTATGCTAATGACTTAATACTAAAAGAAATGAGACATATCACATGATTAAATATAAATATATACATGGAAAAGCACTGACTGTGCTTACTTGAATATTCTCAGATTATCTCAAGAATATAAAACTTTAGGCAATTTTGAAATGGGGTCAAATCTATTTTCTGATAACTTCCCATTTCTCAACAATCATGACAAAACAGAATTGACCTGGTATTTGTCAATACTCATTCACACACACACACACACACACACACACACACAAAACACAATTTAAAAAAAAAAGAAAAAAGAAAATTCACAGACATGTAATAAACACATCACAAATGTACATAGTTATGGATGAAAGAATTATATTTCCCAAGCTTTTTGATGTATTTTTTAAGACTTAATTTTAAATTTCTGTCCCTATTTTATTGTTTTTATGGTACCAATAGATCAACTACGGCCAAAGAATACAGAAAGCAGAGGACAGGTGGAGAAGCCAGTGTACTACAGACCAAAATTAATTTCAACCTTTCAAAACTGAAGATACATACAATCAAATTTACTACAAATGACTTAAAAGGAACTAATTACTTTTACATTTTTAGCTGTTCTTGGATAAGGAAACAAAGGTTAGCATGTGTATAGTCCCATTCCATTCTTTAAAAATGAAAGAGTTATTTTTCTTCTAGCAACCTAAACATTATTTTTAGAGACTATACAATACTAAGCAGAACAAAACTAAGATCTTTATATGAAGCATATTACAAGCCAAAAAATAAAATAGAAATTTGTAGCGATAAGTGAAATATTAGAAAATATAGCAGAATAATTTGATAATGTAATGGACAGAAAAAAATGGGTAATGAAAAAAATCACCAAAAAAAAAAAAGACTTAAACTGATTCCAACAGAATAATTTACTAATGTAATCATATGGTTTAGCAACGTGATGGTGCAGGTCCAGTGTGAATGGAGTTAGTATGGTGGGAAAGAAAGTAAAGCATCTAAAAATAGAAAACTCTTGTAATAACAACCTAAAACTTATTGGAAATATTCAGATCTATGTCCTTAGACACACAATTTTTAATATATAATTTAGCAAAGTATTCATAATTATTATTAATTCGGTAGCTTAATACCTTTATGATAATTCTAATCATTTAAACTCTGTCTACCCATGGGAAAAATAATAGAAACACATCCTGTATGAAATACCTAATAATTCTTTGTAGTATGAATCATTCATTTTTTTTTTTTTTTCCAAAGATAACTTAAAACAAAGGGATTAAAAAGCTGACATAATGTGATCCTACCAGAAGCAGCCAGGAACAACTCTTCACTGAAAGAAACACTTTTCCTCAGTACGGGGCTGACAAGGCTAGAATGATGAGGGGTAAGGCTAGATTCCGAGAGGAGGAGACAGGACTTTTTAAGATGAAGGGAACCACAAGAGAGAGAGGGGGAGCTGGGACACAGATAGATCCTAGGTCCCTGTGGGTAAAGTGCTGTGGAGGAAAGTAGCAGAGAAAAGATGCAGATTCAGAAGGTGATCAGAAAACGCAGGATAAGGAAAGCAATGATGAAGCAAAACATAACAGTAAAAATGATTTTTTAAATGTATAGATGAATTACATTAAGCATTGAAGAGTCACTAGCAAGACCATTTATACAACAAAATGCAAATAGGTATCATCTAAAACTTAACAAAACCTTAAAACCCTGCATTCCTTAAAGTTTTTTAAAAATCTCTGCCTTAGGTTTCTGTGTCTTTCTAATCACTTGCAATTGGCTTCAAAATACTTACATTACCTGTCTTTTGTTGCAGAATGTGTAAGGTTAAAGTGCACCAGAAACTTGTTGCTTCAAATATGAATGCTTCTTTAAAGAGGTAAAGTACAGTGTTTTCAATACTACTAAATAAAAGGCGGTTTATATGGGTATTTTAACTGAATATTCATTTTAAAAATCAAAGATATCTATGGGGGTCAGCAGGTGGCATGGTGGTGAACGTGTTGGACTTCCACGTGGCTGACAGCAGTTTGAGTCCTGGACCTACTGCTTTGCTTTCTCACTTTTCCTCTCTCTCTCTGATAAGCACACGGCAAACTTAAAAACTACTACTAATAATAAATTAAATACTTTTTAAAAAAATCGTGTATCTGGTACCACACTAGGCAAACCACTGTCATTACAAATTGTAAATAAATATTAACTTTTTTCTTTTCAGCTTTGAGATGTATGCTAAAACTTCCTTTTCCCTCTAAAGTTCTTAGTACTATTAAGTTATTAGAAAAGTCATGGTGCATTTTTGCATAGAAAAAAAAGATACAAAGTGGCTTTCCCAACAACCCAATATTTTAATCTGATTCCACTACCTGTTTCTATTTACAGAAATTTGAATACCCTAAGGGTCAGCGATTCTCTGCAACACAAAAACTGTGTATGGTTAAAGTCTAACTAAAAAAGTAACCATTAGTTCTTGATTCAAATCATTATTCTAATATGAGCAATTTAAAATTCCACTTATATTAGTTGCATACTTTGGAAAAAAAACATTTATAAAAGCCTTACAAATGTGAACAAATAGAAACTATAGCAATATATATATTTTTTAAAATACAGACCTACCAAAAAACAGATGATAACTTTATCCACAAGCAGAAAAAAATAATTCAGTCTGAGCTGTACTGACTTTATTTTTGGCTTCCCAGGTTATATATAATAAATTAATTATAATCATCTTATCTCTCCTCATAATTTCTCAAGACACTGATTTTGTATATAGATAAAAATAGAGAGGGCCAGCAGGTGGTGAGGTGGTTAAGATGCTGCATCCCACATGGCAGAGTACATAGTTTGATCTGGATCAGGTGCCTTGAAAAAATGCCAGGAATATGTGCATATGCACCCAAAATGCCAGGAGGAGGGTGGAGAAGAAATTGTGGTATAATCGACCCCCTTTGGGGTAGATTCCTTACTTTCCCTTCTCCCACTTCACCCTCTGGTAAAAATATAAATAAATAAATAAAGGCAGAGAATCATAAAAATACATACTTAATCACAATTTTAGCATTTTAGAACAATCATAATTTTTCCATTTTAAGTCTCCATGAGAGGGCAAACCCTATAGCCCCAGTGGTTAAGTGCAATGCATCAGGAGCTAGACCCCACATGGCCGAATGTGGTTCAAATTCTGGCCCTAGCACCTTTTAAAGCACACAGGTGCTTGTGTATGCAAGGTCAAAACCCTGATAGGATAGAGAAATGGAGGAAAAAGGATTATAGCATAACCGTGTCCCATTGCGGGGGTGCTTTCTCTGGCCATTGCATACATTCTCTGACAATTAAAATATGAAAAAGTAAAATTCAAGGGACCTCCATGAAAAATAAGAATGCTCCTCAAGACTATTCAAAGATATTTAGAAATTTATAAGGCCAAGGGACTAAAAAATGCTAGTAGTCTATAAATAAACTACTGAGGTAGTGAACACATATTGGCAAAACAAAATAATTTAATTAGAAGTAGCTTATAAACACAGAAATATATTGGAATAATGCTTTTTAGAACATTACTTTCTTAAAACTATAAATTTGGAGCTAGAAGATAAAGTATAAAATATTTTCATGGATAATACAATTGACTGCCTACTAGTGAAAGCTAAGAGAAGTCTAGTTCAGTTAACTCATTACTTGACAATATTCCTTAGGCTTGGCCTTTTTGATGAACTACAGAAAAGGAACAGACAAACCAAGGAAATAATTTCAAAACTCTCTGTAGTATGTCAAAGAAAAATAATAAATAAAGAGTATTGAAACATGGTCGGGAATATGCAAACAGTTACTGAATCTAGTCCTCAAAAATATTTTTTACACTTTAAGTTTTTGTAATACAACACATGAACTCCCCAGACAGAGACAAAGAGAGAGAAATAGTGAGAAACCACTCGCTCCCAGGTGGGATGGCCATGTCACACTCCCCTATCCTCCAGTCTCCTTTTGAGATTTTGGGCATGTATGCACACACATGTGCCCAGCCTGATTTTTAAGCTGCTAAATCCAAATTGTGCAGCAGGCAATGGATCTAGTCCCTTAAACTCCACGCCACCTACTGGGCACCTCTCAAATTAAAAAAAATTAAAAAAAAAAAAAAAAAACTTGCTTATTTTTAAAATATTATCCTAAGTCTTTCTTGTTTTGATTTTCATGAATTTTAGGCCAGAGTCTCTTATTCTTAATCTTAAAAAAACTTTTCATTACAATTGGAATGGATCCATTTTTCTGGCATAAATATGGTTAAGATGTTACATTCCCAAATCTCTCTTACTAACAAATACTATGTTTTTTTAAATAGAAATTAAATCTATAGACTTTAATGTTCTTTTAAAGTAGTAATAGTTTGGAATTAGATTTATTTTCATTATTTCCACAAAATCTGGGATGATTTTATAAATTTATTTTCTAACATAATAAGTTATTAAAGATGATAAATTTAAAATAACACAAATAGGATGCATGTTTTAATCAATCTGATGGGAAAATTGCCAGACAAAAATGCTATTTACAAAAATTTCAAAATTAGCTTTTCATTCTTTCATTTACATTAACTGTTCTTAATAATTTAATAATTTAAATTAGCTAATTCTGTTTTAAGAAATAAAAAACTAATTTGATTTTTTGTTAACTTTTTATTATGAGTCATATTCATAAAAACCCAGAGAATCTTCTTTAAAATACAAATAGAAGAGAGAAAAAATTATAAATTTAATAAATCAAAAATATTCAAAAATAAGTAAAAATGCTTTTTTCTAACCTACAGAGTAAGGCTAGCACAATCAAACATTTTAATCAACAATAAACAGATATATGTACTTCTATATAACCATTTCAGTTGTTCTTAAAAATTTCTTTCATAATAAAAGCTTAGGAAGAAATTCGGAAATAGGCAAAAACAATGAATTCAAAAATGCTTATAACCTGCATGAGGAATTTTACTGTAAGCTACTAGTGTTACTTTCTAGTCACATGTTTTAAAACGTTATTCCTCTTCATTTAAGCATGAAATGAAAAACTTCTACATACAAAAATTAATCTTGGACTTGATGGGCACGCTATGATAAAATCAACAAGTGTAGCTCTAAGCAAGGTAATTTCTGAACTTCCACAAAAGTTTCGTATTTCAATTGTAGTAACTGAAAGTGATAAATATTCACATTATTAACTTAAATGCCAAAAACAGGAGGAAAGATTTGGATGGAAAGCTAATAAGGAACAGAAACAAATTTTAAAAAAAGAAAAAAACAAAAGGTGGGTGGAAGCGCCTTACCAGTTTTGGGTGTCAAACTCAAATCTGTGTCAGAAGAAGAGGACTGTCGACTGTAGGACTTGGAAGGTGAAAAGGAATAAGTTTGGTTTTTCAGAGGGGTTGAGGGTCCTGATGAGTGAGTATTGGGATTGGGATCTTCATTGAAGGGAATCCTGCCAGAAGAAGGTTGAAAAATATTAAGTAATCATGTGCCAAAGGGCTTGACAGTGGCAGCATGATCCAAACACCAGGGGCAGGGCCAGCACTCATTTCTGAAGTGTGGAGCTCTGAATGAGGCCAATGACAACCAACTGCTGTTTAACCATTCGTCATTCTCCACATAAACATTATCTGCATTGAAACAGTTAATAAGCCAAGTGAAAAGCAAAAAAGCATGAAATGACGGACTGAGGAGACAAAACATATTAAAAGGAGAAATAAACAAAAAGAATAAATAGATGACAAAATATTTTCAAATAATTGCTTTTTAAATTACAAAAGAAAAATGATGACTACAAATGGTGTGTGTAAATATTTGCAATTGTTTTTATATTTGCACACACAAATATCTTCAAAAGAAAAAAAAATATGTTTCCTTATCCTCTAGCATCAAGAGTGCCACAGCTAAAAACACAGCAGAGAGGAAAATGAATATAGCTACACGAAAACATTGCATTTAACGCCAAATAGTTGCTTACCTGTTTTCCAAAAGTTCTCTTCCACAGAATGAAAAAGACCCTTCTAATAATAAGTTTTGGACATAAGCATATCAAAAGCTTGGCTGCTATTTCACTTAGAATCTAACCAGTAATTCCGTTTCTAAACAAATGTAGAAATAATCACAAAACTCACAGTACACATATACGAGAGAGGGTTCTTAGAGGATCTGTGGAAGAGACTTTGGAAGCTGGAAGAATTTCACTTCCATACTGTTAAAGTCTCTGTGCGGCTAAATACAGAGGTTCTTCACTGCAGCTGGGCTTTGAGTAAGAAAAGGAGGAAGCAAAGACTTGTGGTACCTGCCTACACTACCTGCCTGCCTGCCTGCCTTCCCCCAGCTCTGGAGTCTGAGCGGTCTCGTACCAGTATAGATGAGAGTGGGAACAGACACAGAGAAGTTCTGAGTAAGTCGTGAGCCAGTAGCAGTGTGAATTGGGCTGTTGTGAGTCGAGCGGCATCCATGGCTTGGAGGATGAACCAGCGGAGACCTGAGGGAATTTGTGGTCAAAGTGGAAGAAAAGAAAACAATACATACAACAGATTGCAAAGTAATGTTAAAATAATTTCAAAGAAGCTTTAGTTAGAGGAAAGAACTTATTTTTTAATCCCTAGCATGCAAAAAATAAGCTGAAATTTAAAATCTTCGCTTGTTAGGATACACAGTTACTAGTTTTAAAGGATCAGATAAGTAAATTAGAACTGTAAGAGAAAGAGCAAACAATAATTAATGAGATTACGTGAGAAAAACACTAAGATTTGAATTTTAAGCTGCTTTAACATATTTGTGTTTTCTTTGATCACTAGAGAAATTATATAATACTTATGGGGGTGGAGAAACACCCATAAAAGTGAAAAGTAAAATATAAAGTTCTCACATTACCTTTGAATATATATTGCTGGCATATTTTTTTCTATAAAGTCAAACTGCTGTTTTTGTCTAGAATTTCAAGATAGCCTAAACTCAAGATAAGGGTACTTAAGAATATGAAAAATGGAGGCCAACAGATGGCATAGTGGTTACGTTGCTGGACTCCCACATGGCCGACTGAGGTTCAAGTCCCAGACCCAGTGGCTTAAAAATGCCAGGTGTGTGTGTGTGTGTGTGTGTGTGTCCCAGATCTTAGGAGGAGAATGGAGGAGAAGGGATTGTAGTGTGGCCATTACCCCTGGTGGGTAATTTCTTACTGCCTCTCTCTCTCTCTCTGGCAAGGACGCATACCCTATGGCAAAAACCTCTTTAAAAAAGAAAAAAAATAAAAATAAAAACAAGGAATATGAAAAATGATAGAGAGAAATGGGTGAATTGTATAAATACAAGTAGATATACACATTCCAGTATTGCCACATGCCAAATACATAACTTAAAACCAGGTTACGCCAGAAACAAGACAAAGCAAGGGGACACCGCTTTTTACAATATTAATAAAGAAACAGAAGTAATTTTGTCTAGCCTTCACACAGACTATATTACGCAAACATTCTGAATTAATATTTTGTAAGCTATAAATGTATATAATAGACCACATCTCTGTGTGTATAAAAGTATACTTAAATAACTCAAATTTATAATCATATACAACATTTAAATTTTTCAAATAGCGGTTTGGCTAAAAAGGTTATACTGAATGGGGTAAAAAAAGTATACTATTGGGACCAGCAGGTAGCATGGTGGTTAAGGCACTGGACACTCCCACATGGCCGACCGGGGTTCGAGTCCTGGACCTGGTGGCTTGCTTTCTTACTTCCTCTCTCTCTCTCACTATTACTTTCTGTCTCTCTCTGGTCAAATTAAAAAAATCAGTGAATGAATAAATAAAAAATAAAATAAATAGCTATTTAATAAAAAAAGTATACTATATAATAAGAATCCTGGACTTTGCATTGGCAGTTATTTCACTGTGCACTGCCTTTGCTTAAGCACAAGAGAGGAAAAAGACTCAGTTTTGAGTACACTCTGAAAAACTATCATACCCTTATTTTTTAGAGTTGAAATTAAAGGAAGCCAAGAGCCCAACTTTTCCTGACCATTTTTCCTTCTCTATTGCATAGTATCAACTACTGGAAGAATAGTTCTACCAATCACAATCTGTCAAGGTTTAAACATAAGGTATCTCTAACTGGCCTAATAGTCTTTCCTGGGGTTTACAAGCTACTGCCTGAAAATATTCCTGATTTTACCATGTAGCAAATGTTTCTGCTTTTGTTGCTAACAGAAATTTAAACAACGTTAACTATAACTGATAAGATCAAACACTTTGTTAGTAATCTACTTTTATACATGTAACTGAGTGAGGTTTTGTTTCTGTGTTTTATTCCTCGGCTGAAGTGAGAAGTCTAAAACTTCTTACTTAAGAAGTCTAAGAGGGGCTGGCAGGTGGCATGGTAGTTAAGGGCACTGAATTCCCACATGACCAACTGTGGTTCGAGTACCAGACCTGGCAGTTTGCTTTCTGACACCCTCTCTCTGGTCAAAAGAAAAATAAAGTTAATTTTTTTTTTTTAAAGTTTAAGAATTGGTGCTGTAGACAGAAAAAATTATAGCTAAAGCTCCTTAGAACGTACTTCAAATAGAGAAGTGATAAATCATATTCAAAATCACTTTAAGGCCAGCCTGTGGTCTGGTGGTTAAGGCAGTTGGATCCCACATGGCTGACTGTGCAGTTTGAGTCCCACACCTGGAGGCTTGAAAAACACATTTAGCACATGTGCATACATGCCCAAAATCCTGAAAGTAGGGAAAAATGGAGAAGGGATCATGGCATGACCATGCCCCATGGGGAGCACTTTCTCATTTTCTCATTTTCCCTTTCTCTTCTCTCTTTTTATCAGTGTATGTACATTCCTAAGTTTATATTTAAAAAAAAAAAAAAAAACCCACTTTGCATCACCCTAAACACTTTTGCTATAAAATACCAAATGTTACACTAAACATTTAAAAAGAGAAAACAGGACAAGTCGATGATGTGGCGATTAATGTGGATGGATCCCACATGGCTGACTCAGCACGGTTTGAGTCCCGAGACTTGGATTCTTAAAAAACATTCCAGGGTGTGTGTGTGTGTGTGTGTGTGTGTGTGTGTGTGTGTGTGTGCGCCCAAAATCCTGAAGGGAAGGAGGAATGGAAAAGAGACCACAGCATAGCCATTCCCTATAGGGGGGGTGCTTTTTCATTTTCCTTCTTTTTCACTCTCTCTCTCTCTGGCAAATGCACACAACCTCTAGCAAAAAAAAAAAAAAAATACATACATACATACACACACACACACACACACACACACACACACCCACACCTGAGCCACCTGCATACTGTCTATGGCTGCTTTTGCACTAATAACAGCAAAATTTTATGGTAGCATCAGCAACAACTTGAATTATTAACTTTTTTGCCTGAACTATTTGCCAACCCTTAATCTAGAAGAATCTTTACATCAGTGGTCCTCCATGTAATTACTACTGGCATTTGGTAGAGAACAAGTCTTCATTACACAGAGCTGTTGAAGATGGTCACTTTAAGAAGAACTACTCTTACTCCTAATAATGATGACAGAAAAATCTTGTTTCACCTCTATGTTAGGAATCTCTGCCTTTGACACAAATGATGACATACAACATGAATCCAGACAACAGAAGTGTTTTGCTGGTTCACATACAGTTTTTAAAGAAACAATGAATTTAAATTCCTTTAAATCAGGAATTGGAAAATTTATTAATGAAATAAAGACACAGATTCTATGGCCAGTGCCTGATATATTTATTGTCTGGCCTTGTGTAGAAAAAGTTTGTTAACCTCAGCTTTATACACACCTCTGTATACCCTATTTAATTATACCCAATTATTTTATTTCTATTATATAAACTACCTGGTCTCTGTAGACATTTCCATTTGAGACTAATATCAATCATAAGTCAAATCTTTTTTGCTTTCTTTACGATGTTGCCACTAATAAACATAACCAGATGTTATGAGTGTTTTAAGTAGCCCCAGAAAATAAATAAAATCCACACCATGTATAAACATTAATTTTGTGTTTAAGATACACAATGTCTAGAATAAATTTCATCATACACTATTTGAGTTTTAAATTAAGACAATATAAATAAAATATAAGGCATATCTACACATTTCTAAACATGAAATTTTGGAAGTCTTCTCGGAAAGACAAAACACTATAAAATGAATGTTGAACAATCCTACGAAATGTTTCAAAGCAAATGAAAATGTAGTCTAAAAAGCAAAAATCTCCACAAGAACAATTTCAATGATTCATACTTACTCCTTTATTTCTTTGGATGGGGAATTGCATGCAGGAAGAAATGCTGCTGGGCTACTTAATTTATCCAGAGTACACGCTGTTCCTATGGCTCGTACAACTAACCCAGACTCGCCCTCCAGATCAAAACACTGTAAGTACCCAACCACTGCATTTCCTCTCATTTCAAGGACTTTCAGGCCAATCTTTCTCTGTAATTCACCTATGAAAAAAAGGAAGAAGATTTACTCTTGCTTCATATCTCTGTATTATATATCACAGAGCTGGACACAGCAGTGACAGAAAACAAGTCACAGAGATCACAAATATCAAGTAGGCAAATATAAATGTGACATACAGACGGGGTCTGAAAAAGTTCATGGAAAATGTATCTTATGAAAAAGCTGTGCATGGATTTTAAAATTGCATATGCCCTGAAATAAATTCATGCTTTAATTCTCTTTTTCCTTGAGCTTTTTTGTTTCCTCACATAGTGTATACAATATAAATATAAGATATAGAACATAGTTCTTCTATAATACATTACATATAATATGTAATATATAACAGAGCATAAATACATAGAATAAACATATTTATTAAAGATGACTTTTATACTTGCATGACATACGTATTCATATTCACATACATATTCATACAAAATTTTGGGTGATAAATTCGTCAAAGAAATACAAAGATAATGAGACTAAGAGGGAAATGAGTCTCTGTCTGGCCTCATTTGATGCAGGGAAAGGAGGAGGAGGGCTACAGGGAACTGGGCACAGTAGGTGCTCAGAGAAGGACGGTGAAAAGTCAATCTTTTAAAAAAAGGTGTGAGAACTAGAGTAGGTGATTTGCCTAAGCTCCAACTACAATTAAACTGCTAGAGGGAAGAAAACAGTTTCCAGTTCAGGGATCCTCCTTGAATCTCTCTGCTCAAGCCCTTTTCTACTCTACCACTTTTTGAACACGGTTTCATCTACTACCTCGTTAGCAAGGAACTACAAGCTGCTGATTCAGACGTCCACTTGTAAAAAGAGGGCAACTGATACATGTGTGTTCAGGAGGATGGGATCATGGGTGGGGGAATCAGTCCCTTACAAATCCATAGCCTTCATAAACAAATTTCAGGTAGTATTTCAAAAGAAAATGAAAAGTTTAAGAGTACTGAGTCAATCAGTAATTAAGTTATTTTTTTAAATACCTGACATTAAAGATATGAGTCTCTGTCTGGCCTCATTTGATGCCCTCGGTGTTCGAATTCGATCGATCCACTGATATTCTGGGTCTTCATTGACCACAAGTTCTTCTACAAATCCATGAATTATTACAGCTCTATAGCACTTTGGAATAGATGTTGCTGTTAAAACAAATTGTCTATTACATTTCTGTTGATTGCAAGGTAAAATTCAAGTTTTTAAAGACGTATATCTAAGTTCTTATTTTTTGCATATTATAATACAAGAACCTTTTACCATGATAATGTCTATGCAATTATACTATTTTTCTTTAGTTCTTGCTGTAGGGCATGTGCACTCACCATAGAGAGAGAAAAAGTAAGAAACTCCCCATGGGGGGATGACCAAGCCACAATCCCTTCTCCTCCAATATCCTCTTGGAATTTGGAGCACGCACACGTGTAAGTACTCACATGCACCCAGTGTGATTTTCAAGGTGTTGGGTTTAGCACTTGAACTGCAAACCTGGCAACGTGGGATCTAGGACTTTAATCTTCATACCACCTGCTGGCCCCGATATAATTTCTCTCATCAGATAATGGTCTGAGTTCTATTTTATTCTTAGAAATAATAATTTTCTTTCATGAGGTCTCTCACCTTTCTCATATAAGCAAAGTAAATGTAAATATTATTTTTACAATTTGGAAAACAACTACAGACTACTTTAAATAACATTCAACACAACCTTTAAAAGAATCAAAACTGAGGGGCCAACAGGTGGCGTGGTGGTTAAGGTGGCTGGATTCCCACATGGTCGACCACAGTTCGAATCCCAGACCAGGTGGCTGGCTTTTTCGCTTTGTCTTTCTCTCTCTCTCTGGTCAAATTAAATAATAATAATTATTAATAATGAATGAAATTAAATAAATAATTCTTTTAAAAAAAGAATCAAAATTGAAGTCAGCCAGCTGATTATTATATAAATAGGCAGAAAACAGATAATGAACTTAAAAATCTTTAATTATTCAAACTCCTTTGTAAAAGCTCTTCTTACTTTTTTTTTTTTTTTGCTATAGGGCATATGTGCTTGCCAAAGAGGTGGGGTGGCAGGGAATGAGAAGGCCCACCTAGAGGGGATGGACATGCTCCAATTCTTTCTCCTCCATTTCTCCCTTTTGATTTTGAGTGTGCAGTGCATGCGTGAGCACATACACACACAGACACGCAGGCATCTGGCTGTCTTTCAAGCTGCAGGGTCTAGGACTCAAATCATAGTTGGCCATGTGGGATCTAGCTGCCTTAAACACCATGCCACCTGCTGGCCCAGGAAAGTTCTGAACACCACATACTGCAGCCTTGAAATCAAACCACTTATCTTTCTGACATACCTAGAGTCATAAGCTCTTCAGTTTCTAATAATGCACAGCTACATGGCCAACTGGTTCAAATCACTATACTAATTACTAGACTCATTTAGTAAGTACTCATTTAAGATTCATTTTAATCTAAATGTCATTGGATTTATATCTTATTTAAATGTTACTAGATTTTAATAAGATCTGGTTAAACTCAAAAAAGGAAGAACCCAAAGGAGCATCTTAAAATAGATATTCATGCACTGAAGCCAACTCAACTACTTAGGGGTTTTCAAGCCTACTAATACAGGACAGCTATGAATCACCCTGATCTTCCCAATGCAGACCATACAATCTCACGGAGTCCTCACAGTTCAACAGCTGTAGAAGCTTGTGTAATTAATTTGGGGTAGCATAAATGTGCTTAGCTATGTGTCCCACACTAAAAAAGTATCACAGGACCAGCAGTTAGCAATAATGGCTATGTTGCTGGACTCCCATGTAGTCGATTGAGGTTCGAGTCCCTGACCTGGTGGCTTAAATTTAAACTCACAGCGGGCACGTGTGTGTGTGTGCCCAAGATCCCAAGAGGAGAATTGAAGAGAAGGAATTGTGGCATGACCACATCCCTGGGGGGTGATTTCTCGCTTTCTGTCTCTGTCTCTCTCTGCTCTGTCGGCAAGCACACACGCCCTATGGCAAAAACCACTCCAAAAAAAAAGTATCACAAGATTTTTTTTTTTTTTTCCGAGAGATTTTTGCTATAGGGCACATGCACTCACCAGAGGAACAGACAGCAAGAAATCACCACCCAGGGGAATGGCTATCCCCTTTCCTCCATTCTCCTCTCTGGATTTTGGGCACGCATAAATGCCCATGCACCCGGTATGAATTTTAATCCACCAGGTCCAGAACTTGAACTGTGGACGACTACATGGGAGTCCAGCAACATAACCATTATGCCATCTGCTGGTCCCGAAATATCATGAGACTTTTCTAACAAAACTTTCTATAAACTTGTAAAAATTAGATACCATTTATTCTCAAATAAAATAAACAGTCCCTGAGCTACTGTAATATATTCTGAAAAATTAATAACTTTTCTTGGGACCAGCAGATGGTGTAATGGTCATGTTGCTGGATTCCCACGTAGGCTACCGTAGTTCGAGTTCCAGACCCGGCAGCTTAAAACTTCACAACAGGCACATGTGCCTGCGTGCCCAAAATCCCAAGAGGAGGTTGGAAGAAAAGGGACTGTGGTGTGATCATCACCCCCTGTGGTAGCTTTCTCACTTTCTATTTCTGTCTCTCCAGTGAGTGCACACACCCTATAGCAAAATCTCTCTCTAGGAAAAAAAAATAATAATTTTTTTTCTTTGGCATTAAAACCAAAATATAGTATGTTTTTTGTTTTTGTCAATTTGCTACAGAATGTATGTTCTCACTAGGGAGATAGAGAGAGAAAGGAGGGGAAGTGAGAAAACGTCCCCTATGGGGGATAAACATGCTACAATCGTTCTCCTCTTTCTCCTCTCAGGATATTGGGCACATATTCCAGCATAGTTTTCAAACCACCAGGTCTGGGACACCAACTGTGCAGTCAGCATGGGGGATCCAGCTGCTTTAACTACCACATGACCTGGCTGGCCTAATGATACTTTTTCCACCAGCCTTCTAAAACATTCATTTGAAGTCCAGTAGCTGGTGTTGATAGGATTTCCACGTGGCTGATCATGGTTTAAATCCTGGACCTGGAATTTACTTTCTCACTTTCTCTTTCTCTCTCTCTCTGATGAGCACATGTGTCCTATAACAAATTAAAATAATAATAATAAATTTTTAAAAATTAAAAAATACATTAATTTGATTTCCCATATTTAATAGTTATTAAATTTCCTGTCAAATAGTAAAATAACACATTTACTTACTGCAAAAGAACTTGACTCCACATGATGACTGCCTAAATCGATTGAGATCATTGAAGAGGTCTACTTTGACAACAACATTTATTTCCCCACGAATGCCTAGAAATTTAAAAGGAAATAAAGTTTATACCTTACCAAAAAAAGGTACAGTGAAATAATAAAACAAATGTCAGTTTATGGTTTTAAAATAATGCATTTGGTCATAACAGTAGTGCTAACCTTGCTTCCTAATTATTCTCATTCTCGGTAGTTTCCTGATCACATTTTCCAAAGCAGATCATGTATGCTTTAGGGAATGGGTAATTGTCATTTTTATCACAAGTCTCTTTTGATTTGAACCAAGACTAACTGTAAAAGAGCCTCATTTAAATTGATAGTGATGATGATGGTGGTAACATCTGTTCATAACCAATAGAGGATGCACTAAATGTTTTAAACACAGCATCTCACAGTATTCACATCAACCCAATGTGATCATTTCTATAGTAGTATCATCCTCATTTATAGAGGAGGAAACTAGTATTTAATTAAGAAAAGTTAAATCATTTACTAGCTGTTTGCACTAATAAGTGGCAAAGCCAGGATTAAAAGACAGATCTTTATGATCCCAGGGTTTACACTCAAAACTTTATGTAAGAATCTGATTAACAAAAACGTTTTACTCATTTCAATGAATATGTTAAAAGAAACTAACTAAAAAATGCCAAGAATGAGGGTTTTCAAAACATGCTCTGGTATATGAGAATGACCCAGCCCTTACCTCTAAACCATTCACTAAATATTTTCACTCGACTGTACTGACTTCATGTCAAATTCACTTATGGTGGAGGACCTTCTAAGAAAAGTGACTTACTAATTTACCTATTGAAACAATAAGAGAGAATAAGGCTCCTAACAAAGGGCCCATAAACAGATTTGTTATAATATTTTTTTTAAAAATTGGAAAATACATTCATTCATACAACTATTGCTTTAATCCAAGTCCACATTAATTCTTCAGTATCATTTTTGGCAACATAACATTTAATTGAATTTTATCTCCTGATTACAATGATAATATATATATACATTGTAGAAAATGTAGCTAAAGGCCAAAAAAGAACAAAGAAAAACAGCAGAAATATAATCCAGAAATGAAACTAATCAAGGATAAATATTTTATCATGTATTCTGACAGTTTCTCCAGTGATATCAAAATACATGCAATTCTTTTGTTTCTAGACAAATTTGGGATTATCATATAATATTTCACAATCTGAATCTTTTTTATTTATTTATTTTTTTGGAGAGGTTTTTGCTATAGGGCGCGTGCGCTCGCCAGACAGACAGAGAGAGACAGAGAGACAGAAAGTGAGAAATCACGCCCCAGAGGGGATGGTCATGCTGCGATCCCTTCTCCTCCATTCTCCTCTCGGGATCTTGGGCATGCACGTACACGCGCCGGGCGTGAGATTTAAGCCACCGGATCCGGAGACCTGAACCGCAGTCGACTGCGTGGGAGTCCTGCGACATAGCCATTACGCTAACTGCTGGTTCCCAGAATCTGAATCTTTTTTATACGAAACATTTATTTAAAGCAATACACCTCTAGACCAAATTATTTTTAAGTTAAAATTTTCAGGTTCGACCCCAACTTCATAAAAATACTTTAAGAACAACTGCATCCACGATTGCAACCTGGTTACTTCTTTGCCCACTCTTCTCTCTCTTTTCTTTCCCAAATAAGCTCTTTCAGATATGGCTCAAGGTAGAAATGATCCTCCTCGGATTTTGTCCACTGCTCTTTAGGCAAGACCTGCTGCCTCACGGTCAGGTCCAGGGCTCTCTTAATGTGAAGCATCCTGTCATTACAAAGGTTCTTAGGAAGTCTCCTTATGGCTTCCTTCACATCTTCATTCTCATATATCGTATCATCTCACATTAACCCCAGTTCATTGAATCCTGCAGCACTGTAATACCATTTTCAAATACCATCCGGCCACCAGCCTGATGCTAAAACAGCTAGCCTGCTCGCCATTTTGACCCAAGAGCAAAACCCACAATCTGAATTTTTTCATAACACAGCATACATGTTTTACTATGACATTGTTTTCTGAAAGCATGCTTTTTTTTGGTCTTAGTTTTTTTTACCAAAGGGCATGAGTGCTAGCCAGAGAGGAAGGGAACATGAGAAATCACCCTCCAGGGGGATAGGACCACGCCATAATCCCCCCCTCTCTTCCATTCTCCTCCTGGGATTTTGGCCATGCATGCACACATCCCCAGTGTGATTTTCAAGGTGCCAGTTCCAGGTCTCAAACCGTGTTTGGTGATATGGGAATCCAGCGCCTTAACCACCAAGCCACCTGCTGGCCCCCAAGACAGGCTTTTTCTGGACTGTATAACTCACGGTTTATATATGGCTGAATTCATTTAAGTAATCCCTGATTTCAATTTGTTTTGCCACTTTAAACATTAGTAAGTAATAGGATAAAAAACATGTCAAAATAAGCATAATTATATATAAATCTCAGCAAACATCTTATTTATTTTAATTAGCTTCTACAAATAGAATTGCCAGGTCAAAAATGCAAAATAAAGGCAATAAGCTGCAAAGCTAGAGAGTAAAAAGACAGTTCTCAACAGATTCATTGGCCACTCTAAAGAAACACTATACTTTTAGGCTAGCAGTTTTCACTGAAGCTGCAGGACCCTTTTAGAATCTTCAGAATAGTTAAGGATCTCTAAGAGTTTGCTTACATGAGTCATACCACATTAAAAATTAAACTTGAGAATTACAAATATATTTACTGATCACAATTAAAGTTATATTCATGACTCATTTACATTAAGAAACTTTTATAAAAACGTGTTTTCAAAAACAAAACAAAAAGGGACCAGCAGTTAGCATAATGGCTATGTCACTGAACTCCCATGTAGTATACCACAGTTCGAGTCCTGGAACTGATGGCTTAAACTCATGCCGTGTGCGTGTGCATGCATGCCCAAGATCTCGAGAGGAGAACGGAGGAGAAGGGATTGTGGCGTGGCCATGCCCCCCAGGGGGTGATTTCTTGCTTTCTGTCTCTTTGTCTCTCTCTGTCTTTCTGGCGAGCGCACGCACCCTAAAGCGAAAACAAAAAACAAAAACTGGCACTGTATTACCTATCTGCAAATCCCTACACTGTGTAGTTAAGTGAAAAATTGTTTTTCATTGTTGCTATGTTCAATGTCTAATAGCATCTATATATCATAAAACCTGTAGAAAACTTCACTGTACACTTGTGAGAAAGTAAAAATAAAAACAGTGAATGAAATAGGAGCATAATTCTGAAAATAGTTCTCAACTCAAGAAGCCTGCGAAACGATCTCAGCGACCTGCTATGTGTCCCCCAGAACATCCTTTGGATTCCTGTTATAGGTAGTAAAAAGTCTTTGAAGAATTTTTAAGTAAAAAAAAAAAGGTCAATATTATCAGTTTGAAAATGTGTTTTAGACAGAGTACCAATACTAGATATTTAATTAATGAAATTAATGCCTTTTTCGTACACCTTGTACAAATTTAGCAGGCGCTATTTCAAATTATGTTCAGAGAAACAGCTCTACCAACAATACTACTTGTCTGTGTTAAGAATGGCACTGAACTATGGAAGGCTTTTTCAAAATTTTTTTTATAATTTCTGGGTTTTTGGGGTTTTTTTGGAGAGGTTTCTGCTATAGGGCGCATGTGCTCTCCAGACAGACAGAGAGACAGAGAGACAGAAAGCGAGAAATCACCCCTGGGGGGATGGCCACGCAGCAACCCCTTCTCCTCCATTCTCCTCTCGGGTGGGATTTTGGGCACACACGCACACGCGCCCGGTGTGAGTTTAAGCTACCAGGTCCGGAACTCAAACCGCGGTCGACTACATGGGAGTCCAGCGACACAGCCGTTATGCCAACTGCTGGACCCTATAATTTCTGATTTTAAAAACATGGAACACGTCATGATTTTGGGAGTCTTTCCTGCACAGGAGCCAGGCTAATCTTCTCTAGACTGTTTCAATTTTAGTGTATGTGCTGCTAAACTTAGCTTAGTATAGAAATCTTTAAGGATAAATAAAATGATTACGATCGTGAGCTATTTTCTCAAAATATTACTCCTTACCGTGTATGGTGTCGTAAATTGGAAACCATCCTGAAATGACTGTTGCAGCCTCACTATACAATAGCGGATCGATGTCAATGTACACTTTACCAATGGCGTCATTTGCACTGTAAGTATCGTGGTCGAGCACTGTGATCTGCAGAGGTTCATCTTGTAAGTCTTCATCATCCACCTAAAAGTATACCTTAAAATTAAATCTTAGTTTTAAAAATCTCCATTACCACAAATAGATAGATAGATAGATAGATAGATAGATAGATAGATAGATATAAAACAATGAAAATAGTAATGAATTAGTTCTCCAAATAGTCTTACAGATTTATCTCTAGGCACAAAAGTAAAGAGAATATCACACATGAAAAAGTTATAATTCCTTTTCCTATACAAAATGCCATCACCTCTAAGCACAAACATTGGATTATTAGCACAAAACCAGTTTTAACCACTTTTTTTATTATCCTGTTTCACTACTCTACAATATACCATAAAAATGGTACAACAATATCCTTTCTCTTTGTAGGTAATAGAATTCATGCAATATCTACAGAGAAAAAGGATGCTAATGAATACAATGACACCATCATCCCTAAGGAATTTCAGAGAATAAAATGATAAGCTAAATTAACACTACATGTAAGAAAAAAATTAAATATCTACCACCTCTCCTTCTTTTACTCAATCATAATCAATTACTTATATGCCATGCCCTATACCAAAGAGAGGGACTATAATGGAGAACAAGGCAAAAAATATTTCTCCCTCACTGAAGATACATGCATTCTCTATTTTCGCTACCATCCACATTAATGTGCCAGTACCCCTCATCTAATGTGCTGGCTATAACGGAACACATTACATATAGCATGAAGATTACAATAGACTACCAAAGGATTATTAGTTTTCTTATATAATTAGAATGCTATACTTTCTTGGGACCAGCAGTTAGCATAATGGCTATGTTGCTGGGCTCCCATGTAGTTGACTGTGGTTCAAGTCCCGGACCCGGCGGCTTAAACTCACGATGGCTGGGTACGTGTGTGTGCGTGCCCAAGATCCCGAGAGGAGAATGGAGGAGAAGAGATTGCGGAGTGGCCATCCCCCCTGGGGGGGGGGGGGGTTTCTCCCTTTTAGTGTCCAGGCATGCGCACACGCCCTATAGCAAAAAAACTCTCCAAAAAAAGAAAAAAAAAAAAAAGAATGCTATACTTTCTTAATCCATATTCCATATGTATTAACATTTATTTTATTTATTTACTTTAAATTATGCCACAGGGAGCGTGCTCTCACCAGAGACAGAGAGAGAATGAGAAAGCGCTCCCTGTGGGGAGTGGTCATGTTGCAATCCTTTCTCGTCCATTCTGTCAGAATTCAAGGCGGGCATGCACATGCACACATGCATGCAGCATTTATTTCAAGCCACTTACTCGGTCTAGGATTCAAACTGTGCAGTTGCCAGGCTGGTGGGTGACGTGATAGTTAAGGGCACTGCACTCCCACATGAATGACCGTAGTTCAAGTCCTGGACCTAGTGCTTGCTTCTCACTTTCTCTTTCTCTCTCTCATTCTGTCCCTCTTTGGTCAAATTAAAATAAATAAATAAAATTTAAAAAAAAAAGAAAAAGAAACTTGGGGACCAGCAGTCAGTGTAATGGCTATGTCACTGGACTCCCATGTAGGCGACCGCGGTTCGAGTCCCAGACTCGGTGGCCTAAACTCATACCAAGTATGTGTGCGTGCGTACCCAAGATCCCAAGAGGAGAATGGAGGAGAAGGGATTCCGGTGTGGTCATCCTCCCTGGGGGGTGATTTCTCGTCTTGCTTTCTATGTCTCTTTTAGTCTTTCTGGCTAGCGCATGTGATCTATAGCAAAAAAACCCTCTCAAAAAAAAAAAAAAGAAAAGAAAGAAAAAGAAAATTACTTAATTTAAAAAAACAAAACAAAACAAAACTGTGCAGTTGGTCATATGGAGCCGGCTGCCTTCACACTAGGCCATGGGCTGGCTCAAAGTTTAACATTTTAAAGATAGTCTATGAACATTTGTGTCCTTACCAGACCAATCTAAATGTAATTAAGATTGAGCTTGAGTGAGGCCAGCCAGTTGGCATGGTGATTAAGGGGTGACCATGCCCCCACAGAGGATGCTTTCTCACTTTTCCTCTCTGTCTTTATCTGGTGAGTACACATACCTTCTTACAAAGAAAACAAACAAACAAAAAAACACTTAAATATGAAAAATTATGCCTTTCTTATCCCCTATTTCATTTCTTAGTGATTTTAGGCTAACAACTCAGACTCTGAAGATAATTTTAAAAGTTAATGTACACTGGGGCTATTACGTGACATGGTAGTTTAGGCACTGGACCCCCAAATGGCCAACTAGTTTGAGTCCTAGACCTGGCAGCTGGCTTTCTCACTGCCCACCTACCCCGCCCTGTCTTTCTGTCTCTCTCTGGTGAGTGCACATGCCTGATAGCAAATTAAAATGATAATAACTACAATTAAATAAATAATTATAAAATTAAAAAACAAGTTAAGTGTACACTGGACTGGCCCCAAAGCGCCGTTATTAAGCACTATACATAGGGCACCAGATGCTGCATAGCTAATTACGTTTCAAATCCTACCCTGGTGGTTTGAAAAACACACCAGGTACGTGTATATGTGTGCCCAAGATCATAACAGAATGGAGAAATGGAGGAAAAAGGATTGCGCCGTGGCCATGTCCCATTAGGGGACAGATTTTTCTCTCTCCTTCTCTCTAACAAAAAATAGTCTCTTCAACAAATGGTGCTTAGACAACTAGATTTATTCATGCAAAAGAAAAAAGTTGGGGCTAGCTCATGGCCTGGTCATTATGGAACCTGGATCCCACATGGCCAATTGTGCAGCTTGAGTCCTAGACCTAGTAGCTAGACACACAATAGGCACATTGTGTGTGCACACAAAATCCTGAAAGGAGGAAGGGTGAAAGAGAGGAGAAAGGACTGTGGCAGAACTATTCCCAGTGGGAGCAGGGATGCTTTCTCCCACACACTCTCTTTCTGATGAGTACATGTACCCTCTGGCAAATTAAAAACAAAAAGAAAAGAAAGTTGGCCTCTTTTTTTTTTCTTTTTTGTTTTTTTAAGACAGATTTTTTGCTATAGGGCACGTGCACTCGACAGAGACAGAGAGACAGAAAGCAAGAAATCACTCCCTGGGAGGATGGCCATGCCACAATCCTTTCTCCTCCATTCTCCTCTCAGGATTTTGGGCACGCACGCACATGTATTGTCATGAGTTTTAAGCTGCTGGGTCCAGGACTTGAACCACAGTTGACTACATGGAGTCTAGCAACATAACTACTATGCCATCTGCTGGTCCTGAAAGTTGGCCTTTTACAATTACAAAAATTAACTCAAAAGGGATCAATAACACATGTATGAGAGGTAAGCCATAAAATTCTGAGAAGAAAATACAGGGGTAAATCTTCATGACCTCAAGCTTGGCAGTAGAGTCCTTGACCTGACATTAGAAGCATGAGCAACTAAAGAAAAACAAATATACTGGACTTGACCAAATTTAAATTTTGTGCTTCACACTTTACAAGTTAAGTGATATATACTGATTGAATATGTAAAATAAATACAAATAAAAATAAATAAATTTTGTGCTTCAAAGGAAAATATGATGAAAGCGTAAGACCAAACCTACTGAATGAGAGACAATATTTGCATTCCACATGGTCAAATACACAGTTCAAGACTTGGTTCTGGAGGCTTAAAAAATATGGAACACACATGTGCATACAAGCCCCAAAATCCGAAAAGGTGAAGAAAGGGTGGGAAAGGGACTATCACATGGCCATTTCCCACAGAAACAACAACATGACTGAAAAAAAAAAAAAATAGCTAAAAAATAAACAAAATGTGATATATACATACAATGAAATATTGTTCATCCATAAAAATGAAATTCTGATACATGCTACAAAATGTTATGAACTTTGAAAACATTATGCTAAGCAAAAGAAGCCAGATATAAAAGGACAAATATATGATTCTACTTATATGAATTATCTAGCACAGGCAACTCAAAAAGATACAAAGTGGATTAGAGATTATCAGAGGGGAAACAAGGAAATGGGGAGTTACTGAACAACGTTGTGAACGTATTTAATGCCACCAAGTTGTCCACTTAAAAATACAATATAGCTTTACCACAATTTTTTTTTTTTTTTTTTTTAGGTTTTTGCTATAGGGCATATATGCTTGCCAGACAGAGATGGAGAGAGGAAGTGAGAAATCAACCACCAGGGGAGATTCCCATGCTGCAATCCCTTCTCCTCCACTCTCCTCTTGGGTTTTGAGCTTGTGCGCCCACACCCGTCATGATTTTCAAGCAACCACATCTAGGACTTGAATCATGGTCAGTCAGGCAGGAACCTTAACCACCACACCACCTGCTGGCCAGGTTACCACAATTAAAAATTTTGTTCTCAATCTGTATACTGTTCAACAAGAAATTTTTGGTATATGCCAAAATCCAGAGAAAAAAATAATATATTTGAGAACCTTTTATTCATCTGTGTTATCATATACTATATTTTCTTAACTGTAGTGTAATTTTAAAAAAAAACTCAATATTCCTAAATTCAGCAGAAAAAGTAAATATTTTTATGGTGTAGAAAAACCACTACACTTGAAATGAAAAGTACTCTTATCATTCCTGGGGAAAACATACACACAATTGCTAACATTTAAAAACTTACCTCAAATTTAAACCATTCTGAGTTCCACTGAGGGTTCAGTGACTTGAGGTACACATCTGTTTTAAAGGTAGTATTACCAAATTTTACCTAAAAACAAATAAAAAGTGAGTTAAACATAAATATTGAAAATATGAACAGGGTCAACTCTGTAACCTAGTGGTTATGGGAAACTGGATCCCACATGGTTGACCATGTTCTGAATCCTGGTCTGGAGGGTAGAGAAATATAATGAGCACATGTATATGTGGGTCTAAAATCCTGACAGGATGGAGAAATGGAGAAGGAATTATGTCCCACTCTGGGGTGCTTTCTCTCCCTCTTTCTGTCTCTAGCAATTTAAAAAAAAAAAAAAAAAGGGGACTAAATGTTTGTTTTTGTTTTTTTTTTTTTTTGGAGAGGTTTTTGCTATAGGGCGCGTGCATTTGCCAGAAAGATAGAGAGAGACAGAGAGACAGAAAGTGAGAAATCACCCCCCAGGGGGGAGTGGCCATAGCAATATCCTTCTCCTCCATTCTCCTCTCGGGATCTTGGGCACTCACGCACATGGGTCCAGCGTGAGTTTAAGCCACTGGGTCCGGGACTCGAACGGCAGTCAGCTACATGGGAGTTCAGCAACACAGCCATTATGCTAAATTCTGGTCCCAAAAGGAAAGTATAATGTCAGCCAGGCAATGAGAAAGGATTAACAATGGGGAACCAGCCGTTAGCGTAATGGCTATGTCGCTGGACTCCCACGTAGTCGACCGCGGTTCGCGTCCCGGACCCGGTGGCTTGGAACTCACGCCGGGCACGTGTGCGTGTGTGTCCAAGATCCCGGGAGGAGAATGGAGGAGAAGGGATTGCGGCGTGACCATCCCCCCTGAGGGGTGATTTCTCGCTTTCTGTCTCTATGTCTCTCTCTGTCGGGCGAGCGCACGCGCCCTATAGCGAAAACCTCTCAAAAAAAAAAAAAAAGGAAAAAAAGAAAGGATTAACAATGGAGGGGTAAAAAAGACAACTATCCCCTGAGACAAAATGGAAGAGAGGTTCCAGCAAATGGTATAGAGGTTAAAGTGGCTAGATCCCGCATGGTGGAATATGTGGTTTGAGTTCCAGTCCCAACAGATTGAATTAAAAAAGAAAGAAAGAAAGAAAGAAAGAAAGAAAGACAGACAGACAGACAACTGAGTACATGCATATACATGCCCAAAATCCTAAAGGAGAATAAAGGAGAAGAGATTGTGACATGGCTATCCTCTCTGGAGGGTGATTTTTTTTTTAATTTCTCTCTCTCTCACACATATGCACAAGTGCATGAGAAGAAAAAAAAAACCTAAGGGGAAAAAAAGGGAAAGATTATGATGAGTTCAGATAAACTTGTAGAACATACCAGAACAAGGGATTACCTACTGTTCTACATGACCAGCTCAGAGAGAAATTAAGTTATAGATCATGGACCGCTTCCATGGCCACATGGTTAAGGCAGCCAGGTCTCACATGGTTAACAGTGCAGTTCAAGTACCAGACCTAGAAGCTTGAGAAACACACTGGATGCACGCGTGTGCATGCCCAAAACCCTAAAAGGAGGGAAAGATGGGAGGAAAGGAATTACACTGTAATCACTCCCCACAGAGATGCTTTCTCCTCTGCCTGTCTGTCTCTCTGGAGAGTGTACCTTAGCATGATGAAACTTCGTTGAGGTATTGATACTTCTCTCCCCCTCCTCTGTCTTATGCATGTGTTCTCTTTCGTGAACTAAAAAAAAATAAACTCTAAAAAAAATTGAGCGCAGATGAAAAAATAAAGTCTTGAGGGGGACAGACCAGCAAATATATATAATCAAAAGGTGAAACAAGTCAGACGACTATCCTAGTACCATCTCAGCAAGGGAATCCGGAACTATAGTCCATTATTACAAAAACTTGGTAATATTTGCTTACTTTTTTTTCCCCATAGTTTGCTATAGAGTATGTGCGCTCAACAGAGAGAGAGAGAGAGAGAGACAGAAAAAGAATATGAGAAATCACTACCCGGGGGGGATGACCACACTATAATCCCTTCTCCATTCTCCTCTCAGGACATTAGGCATGATTGCACACTTGCCTGGTGTGATTTCCAAGCCACCGTGCAGCCAGCCAGGTGGAATATAGCCACCTTAACCTTCACACCAATTACTGGCCCACTTGTACTTTCCCGTATTTGTTATATTTTATTTCTATAGCTTTTCACACGGTGTGATCAGTAATAAATGTTATCCTTTAAGGGTTTTATGCTTCTAGCTTCAGGAACCATTAGAGGAGTTGGATGGGAGATGATCTTATTTCATAGTCAATCCCGGCCTGCACTAAATCAGGATCTGGGGTATATACACCTACCCGATGTGTTTTCAAGCTGTTTTCAAGCCATTTCAGCCATGTGGGATCTCACTCCCTTAACCACTAGGCTACTGGGTCAACCCTGAACCTATTTTTTAAAATACATTATTTTAAAATTCAGAAATATCAGGGCCAGCAGATGGCATGGTGGTTAAAGGCACTGGATTCCCACATGGCTGACTGTAGTTCGAGTCCCAGACCTGACAGTGTGCTTCCTTTTTTTTTTTTTTTTTTTGGGGGGGGGGGGGCTTGCTATACAGCACGAGCGCTTGCAAGACAGACAGAGAGAGACAGAGACAGAAAGCGAGAAATCACCCCTCCGGGGGGATGGCCACGCCGCAATCCCTTCTCTTCTGTTCTCCTCTTGGGATCTTGGGCACGCACGCACACACACGTGCCCGGCGTGAGTTTTAAGCCACCGGTTCCAGGACACAAACCGCGGTCGACTACATGGGAGTCCAGCGACATAGTCATTACACTAACTGCTGGTCCCGACAGTTTGCTTTCTTATTTTCCCTTTCTCTCTCTGTCTGTCTCTGGCCAAACTAAAAAACTAGTGGTAACAAATAGAATTAAATAAATAAATAATTCTTTTTACAAAATTCCAAAACATTCAAAAATAAAATTAAATTGGTAAAATAAAATTAAATTAGTAATAATTGTATTTTTATTTGAATTACAGAATTCTGGATCCTTTCCAGGAATTAAACTTACAGAGGGACTTTCACATAAACCGTTCTTCCTAAAAAATATAAAAACTAAATTGTTTAACAAGAAAGTGATAGAATAAATCATATGCATACCATCTACAGAATAGAGTCTATTACAGGTACAATCATGGGACATGATCAGTGACATAACTGAGGAAATAAGCAGCAGCATGTATAAAGTATGCTTATATTTGTTTCTAAAAGCAGGTACACATGAATTTTTTTCTTTTTTTTAAGGTTTCGCCATAAGGCGCAAGAAATCACTCAAGGGAAACTGACAAATAGTGAGAAGGAAAGTGTGAAATCACCCTCTAGGGAGGAGGTAATCACTCAAGGGAAACTGACAGATAGTGAGAGGGAAAGTGTGAAATCACCCTCTAGGGAGGAGGGCCATACCACAATCTCTTCTCCTGCAGTGTCCTCCTGGGACTTTGGGGCACACGTGCACAAGTATCCCATGTGATTTTCAAGCCACCAGAACCAGGACTCGAATGGTGGTCAGCCATGTGGGAGTCCAGCACTGACTATAAAACAACTATGCCCCTGCTGGCCCCCATATGAAAGTATCATTTCTGATAGGGAGAGAAAGTAAATGAACACAAACAAAAGAACAGACGGCAATTATCCCTGCAAAATGGACTAACCGAGGGACCAGCAGTTAGTGTAATGGCTATGTCGCTGGACTCCCATGTAGTCAACCGCGGTTTGTGTCCTGGACCCGTGGTTTAAAACTTATACCGGGCGCATGTACGTGCATGCCCAAGATCTCGAGAGGAGAACGGAGAAGGGATTGCGGCATGACTATCCCCTCTGGGGGTGATTTCTCACTTTCTGTCTCTATGTCTCTCGGTCTGGCAAGTGCACGCGCCCTATAGCAAAAACCTCTTAAATAAATAAATAAATAAATAAATAAAAGGACTAACAGAGTGTACATAATACAATACTTCAAGTTATACTTTGAGTATTTTAATCTTTTTAAATGAGAAGTATTCATGTATTACTTATTTTTCTTAAATCATGATTTTAAGGAAACGAAACAATGAGAAGAAAGGTTCCTACTTAAATGCTAAATTTTCATTACGATACAAATGCAAAGCATAAAGGAAATATTTGTTGTTTAATGTACCTAAAACTGGCATATTTGAAGTAAAATGTTAGGATGTATATAACTGTTCATAAAACATACTTAAGGGTTTTGGCTCAACTGCCAAAAATAGCCTACGTTTTTCTTTTTAAAGGTGTTTGCCACAGGGCACATGCCCTCCCCAGAGAGAGACAGTGAGAGGAAAAGTGAGAAGTCACCTTGGGGAGTAGCGATGGCTATGCAGCAATCCTTTCTTCTCCTGGGATTTTAGGGATGCTTGCTCATGCGCCTGGTATGATTTTCAAGCCAACAGTCCAGTTGGTCATGTGGGAGTCCAGCACCTTATCCACTAAGCCACCTGCTGGCACCTCTCCTGTCATAGTTTAAGTTATAAATTCAAAGCCGCCTTCATTTTGCCCCACGATAGCAGCTGTGCTTTGCTATGCTTTTTTTCCTTTGGTTAGCTAACCATTCTAGATATAATCATCTGGTATTCTCCAAATTGCATTAAACCAACAATATGCGAGATACTAGAAAAAAAAGAAAAAGGCTAGAATGTGTATTTTGCCAATTTTGTGATGACTTCCCTTCTAGTAAAAGAGAATCATGGTTCATTGGCTATTATTTAATTCAAAGGAGATTTTATTACTCAGTAATTAAATGAATGTCTCACAACTTTGTTAAAGACCATCAAGAATTTTAATGGAGATTTCTCCACTTAAAGAAGGCATTCTCTAAAAAACATTAGCTAAATTACCTTGAGAAAGTTATTTAACCTGTTATTTAAATCTGCTTCCTCCTCTGCAAAAGTGGAATTGCTGTGAGCATTTCATTAGATAATGCATGTAAAGACCCAGTAAAATGTCTGATATGCTGAAAAAAACTCATTAAATATATCCTTCTTTTCCCTGCCCCTTTCTCTTAAAGGTTCCTGGGAGG